GAAATTTTAAATAGAACAGAACCTAACAGGTTTATTCCAAGTCTTGTCATACTCAATGATAAAGATGTCACAGCTCTCTAAAATGATAGGCTCCCTACAGAGTTAGGGCCTCAGAGGCTAGCAAGATGGTATCATCAGAAGAAATGAGCTACTTAATATTACCCATAATCTTTGAAAGTTTTAGTACAGTAATTAATTAATTTTCACAGGATTTCTACTTTATAACATCATTCCTATTGTTCTTAAATCCTAAAATAAATGGGGTCAGGAGAATTGTTTCATAATGGAAGTGATGTGGCCATAATTCTTGAAATAGCTTTGAGAAACTTACTAAAAATTGAACTTATGCAGAAAGCTTACTACTTGGAATTCAGAATGACTGACTGGACAGAAGAGACTGGATAAAACTCATGATCCTTTGCTGACAAAGCAACCTACATTAAAAACACAGAGCCCTCGTGCCTTGACTGCTACAAATTCCTGAGCAGGAATTACAGCTGGGGAACAGGACTTCCTCCTCTAGTAACAAAAGATTTTATACATCTCAGCCTTCTACTAAAAAAAATTTTATTATCACTGACATGGTTAAACAGTAAATAAGAAACAAGAGCATATAAGGAGAGTATATAAATAAAAATAAAGAATATTTTTGTAGTTTAGTGAATATATTGTTATAGAATTGATTGGTTGGCCAAGGTATGAATGCCTTAATTCACTGTTTTAAAAATCCAGTATTTTGTGTACATCTCATTGACTAGATAGACTGTCCTACCCAAAGAAGCCAACAATAGCCCTAAAGGAAAGATCAGATATTCCATCCCGTAAGGCAGTTGGGCAGTTTCCAAAAACCTCATAGTTCAAATACTTTTTGGTAACAAATCATTAGCATATCATTTGCACAGTTTCCCAAAATGTAATTACTATAAAATGAACTTATAACAGATTTTATAACAGAATTTATAACAGATCATTTTAGCACCATGACTTTTGTTTACTCTTTAACATACTCCTAATCAGTAGTTGAATACAAAAGTATTCTTCTATTTCTTTCTCCAGATGCTCTCTCTTTATGTTTCCTGGACTGATGAACATTTTCCAAAATCAAGAGTCTTGTGGGTTTATGATTTGCAATAACCCTCTCAACCAAGGTCAAGATGACCCTTTTGAAAGATTTTTAAATCCAAAGTTTTCTTTAGTAAAAAGTCTCTATTTCACTGTGACTTACAGAAATTGAAAAAGTTCAAAAACTACCTTTTTTCTTCTCTCTCTGGAAATATTTAGTATCTAACTCTTGAGTTTTATTGGCTGGGGGAAAAAAACATGGAGTTTTGTGAAATGGAAAAAACATCTCAATATAACATTGGTATAACAAATATGAAAGTTGAAACACAAATTTGCAAAAGGTGCAGTCAATAAATTCAGGTACCTATTTTCCCCTTAAGAGAATGTGTAAAAACTTTATTTTAAGAAGCTAAAAAAGCTAGAAACGGGAAAAGAGTATACACAGGAGACAAATATAAAGTAGTAAGATACTACCAAAAAAAAAAATATTAAGCCATCAAGTGCAGGAAACAGATAATGAATAAAGAAAACTTTAAATGAGGAAGGAGAGTTCTAAGGGGTCTATTTCCCACAGAGAGGAAGAAAAAGAAGAAAAGCAGAAGTAACACTTTTACGAAGTATACAGTCAACCAAAAGGAAAGCCTGTGAAGCCAGGAAACAATCTCAGTTTCAAGGATGCCCATTAGATACATGGCAGTATCATCTCTTTGAATTTTAATTGCACAACATTCTTCAGCATTCTTTAAAAAGAACAATATCATAATATATTAATTATGAAAATGATAGTATTTAACTTTCAGTACATGGTAAAAATAAGTTTATACGTACACCATTATATCACTGAGAACAGTGGCAAAAAAAAGAATTCCAAGAAAATAAAGTGTCAGAGAAATGAAAAACATCAGATAGAGTTCTTTACCAATTTAAAAGAACCTCAGAAAATAGTAGGACAATATTGTTGAAACATAGAAAGGAAATAAGCATCAACCTCAAAGTATCAAAAGCATTGATTCCTCTCCCATATTTAATAAAGAAAATAAAAACTGCTCAAAAAACAAACTGCAATGTACTAAAAAATTCCGGTGAAGCATATTTTATCACTAAAACAGCAACTTTCCACTGAAAACACATGTAAGAACAAAATTATCATTAAATTTTATTTCTTACATTATCTATCATGAAAATAGATTGAACCAATTCAGTAAGTCTTTTTGAAATAGCACTTTACCATGATCTTGAATCACATCAGAGCATGCTAATACAACTGATCTTTGATTGGCCCTGAATTTTCACAAATTAAAATGTCTAAGATGTCCTAAAAGTTCAAAGTTCATTTGGAAGCAAATCAAGTTATTACTGCAGAAAAGAGCCCTGAATGAAAAGCAACTCTGCGGGGAGCCGGGGCGGGGGGGCGGGGGGGGGCAGTGAGAGGGGGGCTGGGAGTCTAATGAAGAAATGAAAAGCTGATTAAACTGCGATCTATAAAAATGTTAAGAGACTGGGGTGGGAGAAGTAGGAAGTAATGTCATAAAGTAACAAAGCAGCAGGGGTTTAAGCAGTTTCACCTTACCTAAGAAGAGTCCAGAACAGTGCTTAAAAATGGACTAAGTGAGATAGCTCACCAATTCCCACTTCCCACAACGTTTATATGTCAGCAGAGAAGCCCCTCTCTACTTTTACAATACTTTTTGGTAACAAGTCATTAGCATATCATTTGCACAGTTTCCCAAAATGTAATTATACAGAATAAACACCAAATGAAAACCCATCCTATGAAAATTTCTTATATGAATAAGAATAGGTATTTAATAATGAATAAACACTTGGATCAATGAACATGGTTATTGCTAAAATTACATTTATTTAGCTCCTCTGTCATATCTACCAGATGTAACAATGAAGAAAGAAAAAAGATCCAAGATGATAGGATAGTAATCCCACAGAACAAATCTAGGTTATACTTTAAAATATATGTTTTACTCATATTTTAGAAACTGTATGTAATTAAGCTTAGCCAATTAAAAATATAATGCACATGTCATAATTTGTATGGCTAGTTGTCCATATAATTCAAAAATATAACAATAGTTTTTAGAGATTAAAAACAAGATAAATTGTTTTTCTAACTAGATCAGTTCATAAAGTAAATAAAATAATGCATATACTTTAGTATAACCCAAATATATACTGGTTTTGCGAATTAGAATTTGACTCCTTAAAACTTGATGCATTACAATCTATCCATTGTTAAACGAAGGGGGGGAGGAAAGGAAAGGGAAAGAGGGAGAAAGTAGAGAAAGAAAGAGAAAGGAGGGAAAGAAGAGGAAAGAAAAAAGAGGGAAAAAATAAAAATTAAATTATTTCTCATAAAGTATGATTCTCAATAACATATCAGCAGTTTTTGTAACTTCCTTTAAAGTTAGGAACTTTTAAGAGACTCAGTTCACTGGGTTTAGAAGCCTTAAGATCACCCTGCTTAGTTAAGTTACACCTAGAACATCAATTGCCCTTCCTCCTCCTCCTTCCCAGATAACACTCTCCCTCCCCCTCTTCGTCTCTCTCCCTTCCCACCTTCTATCTCTTACACACACATAATGCATCTTTTATACGCACATAATTGTCCAAAAGGGACAATGTCTTGAGAACAATAAGTGGTAGAAAGAATAGAAATGTACTGTAAGTTAAATGAGTCAAAGAGCTGTGTCACTTATTCTCTACCTTACCAAAACCATTTTTGTTTCAGATAAGCCAACTGTGTCAGGTCTGGGCAGGTGCGGCTCCAAAATCTCATAAACAGTTTACGTCTTAGAGTGATATTATGGGGTAACAGAGGAGAAGGAAACAATCTCAGTCTTCAATCCCAGTGTACAAAGGGATATTTCTAGTTGTTTCAAAGGTTTTATATATCATTGTCCATCTCCACAGATACTGGTCGGATAAAGCATCTCATTGATCATGTTTCCTCAGTGCATCTTCCAAAGCCACAGGTAGAAGAATTAACCATTGTGTAGAGACAAGTTACACTTTAACCTTTGCCCTGAACTTTAGTTTCAGATTGTATCAACTCACATACTGATCAACATTTGGATCTATGCTAGCCCAATAAAATAGAGTTTCAAGGGTGTTCATATTTGAACCAAGGGTTGGTTCAAAACCCTTGAGAAAGCTCTATAGTTGATCTGATCTTCCATACTATGTTTAAAAAAAAACAACTGGTTTAACTACAATCCTTAGCAACAAAGTTAACCTGTGGCACAGCTAAGCTAAAGTGAATCCCCAAAGTCTGAGCTATAATAAACTATATTTCAGGAACCCACTGATCTTGATCAATTCTGGGGAGGGGTAAGGGGTGGGAACCCAGGTGTTTGCTTCATTTGGGGAACTAGCCAATTAAGTTATTAGATAAGACATATGTCTGGAAAAGCAGAGTTACCAAAGTTGTGCTTTACCACAAAAGTGAAGATTTACACTAGAGTAAACCCAAAAATGAAACTATTTTGCAATCAAAAGATAAATAATAAATCTATTATTTCCTTCAGTGCACACAACTTTGCTATCTTTTACAATATGTAATTCACTTGATAAATATTAAACCCATGAGGAAGAACTCGACTGTACACATTTCTTTTTTAAAGATTGTTTAAAAAGTAACTTTTAACAAGATAAAGAAACTCCCAAATCAGAGATACCATATCTATGTTAATTAGACTACCTAATTTATGAAATCACCAATGTCTATAATTAAATACCATAGTCCTACTTCATTTCACTTTAGCAAAATAATATTACTGAATGATGTGCCACAGAAAAGATACTATTATAATAAATATTTCCCCAAACCCAAGCAAAATTTTACTCTCAAATAGAATACAATTTAAATTACAAATAACACAACCAAGAAAAGGGAAAAAACATATATAGCAAGCTTCATAGCCCACCTTTCTTCTTGACTGGCATTCTTGGTTGTCTCTGCTGCCACAAGATTCAGGATCTCTTTTCAGGTCTCAACTTGATCCAATTGGATTGAGGCCAAGAGCCAGGTAACTGTTGCAAACTGCTTCACCTATTTAGTTTTGAAATCCAGGCTGTCTTCTCTTTCAGATAAAGAAAAAATAATGTATTTTTCCACAATTAAACTTTTGACACTGCCCACAGAGTTTAGAGAAATATAACTTTTGAGTTTTTCAATTTTTTATAAAATATTTATTGTTTTTTTTAGAAGCGGAGAAAATTACTGTAAGCATAGAAAACGTTATTAAAATTCCTCTTCAGGCAGCAACATTTTTGGAGTTCAATGACTAACTCAATTAAGGCACAAACCAAATTTACAAAGCTGTTTCACTACTCGATACATGATCAAATTCAAAGATGAACTAGTTGATGATAGATTCTCAATTCTTTGGAGAAAAATTGAAACATTACCCCTGCCCCACCCCCCAAAAAATACTTTTGAAAACCTCTTTGACTCTAGTCTTTAAAAAGGTGGGTGAGTTTGAACAGTTTTCCGGAGCAGAACACAGACTGAAAGGCCCCTTTCTATTTAGTGGACCATAAGTTCCAGATCTCACCCCTCAGTAAGACAGAATCCAGCTTGCTGTCACTTTCATTTTTTTCTTCTGTGCTCTCCAAGCCCCTCAGGCTTGATCCTTAATGCCCCCTCTGATTCTGATCCTCCCATGTATTAACCGAGAGGATTGAAAAGAAGGAAAGCAATCCCTTGGCATGGAGACATTAAAGTGACAGTGCTACTCAATGGGCACTTGATGCAGGATGAGTTGGCGAAGCAGATTTCTTCACACTGGAGTCATTCACATCATGCCATTTCTTCGCATCCAAGCAGCTGCCTATCCAGCAAGGAAAAACACTGAGACTGTTCCAGAGAAGTCAAACCTTCCCGCAAAGGTGTTTTCTGAGACGCTGTAGTAGTATTAGGCATGTGAGCACAAGCTGGCAAACGGTTGGCGATTTCCTAAATAAGAGAGTTCGGCCGCTTGGCTTCCACATCCACCCTTTCTCTCAATCTCTCTCCAAACTACCCACCTTCCTTTTGCAGCAAAGACAAGAAATCTCTGCTACTACCGCTGGCTACCCCTGCCCACACCCCGTTCTTATATAGAAGAGCACAGAATGTCCTGCACCCTCCACGCGATGAAGTGTTTCTTCAGGCAGTAGAAACAGCAGCACTAGAAATTATATAACTCTCGAATTTGGCTTCTCTAAGACATGGAGACTGGAGGGTCGGGGGTTGCTGGTCTGGGAGGTACTGCTGGGCACAGAACGTGCACAAAAGGGCGCCAGGCCTCCTCGCTGCGCCCCCCCACCCCGAAACACTGGCTGGCAAGGGGGCGGGGGTCTTCTCGGGACGTGGGACGCAAATTTCTCTCCAGTGCCTTTCCAAGCGGAGTGAAAGCATGGAATATGAGGGCACTAAATATTGGGGAGAGGAGTCAGACGGCTGAGAGGGAAAGAGGCCGGTTGGTGGGTCAGGAGAGGCGGTCTCCGGAAGCCGGAGCCTTAAAACACCGGCCAAGCCAGGGGACGAGCTCTCCAAAAGAGTGACAGGGGTGGGCAGTTCGACTCCAGCTATCACAGGTGCCCTGAAGCGAGGAGAGCGCGTAGCTACAGCCCTGCGCTCCGACCGCCCCACGTTCCCTTCAGGATAGGAGAGGGAGCTTGGTTAACAAATAGCAGGGTAAGGGAATGCAGGGCTAGCAGGAGGGGCGGGCCTATGGGCGTCTGGAATTCCTTAAAGCCAATGAGCAGCCATAATTTCAGGACGCCGCGTCCAATTACAGCCAGGATGGAGGGCGCGGCTTTTGACTGGGTCGGGGCGGGCCGAGACTGCAGGAGAGAGGCGTGAGCGGGCCACACTGCCCATCCAGGGAGTTCTGAGTCCCCGCCCACTTGCTAGTCACGTGAGCCCTAAGATGGCGGCGCTCCGGCGTGAGGCTGGAGCTGACCCTGGAGGTAAAGGTGTGGTGCCAGTGGGAGCTGGAGAAGCGCCTGAGGTAGGCGGAAATCCGGGGTGGTTTGGACCGTGATTTCTGCAGCCTTATTGTGTTGGCGGATTTTTCTGAAATGATGCAAGTAAAAAGAATTTGAAAACCTGAACAGAACAGCTCCCAAGTCCATGGGTCGCTCCATCAGTTAAATCCCCAGTTGACATGGAGAGGGAGGGAAAGAAAGTAGGAGACCTAAAGTCTAGCCTTGGTTGCTTGCCGCTTGTTTTCTTTTTGCCTCCGGGCCTTTGCACTGCCCTCACCTTTAACTTGAAATACCTCATACCTCTCTGCACCTCTTCCCACCCCAGTCTTCACTAAATTCTATACTTTCAGGTATTCGTTTAAATGTCATTTCTTCCGGGAAACCTTTCCACACTTTTCCTGGCTAGGTTAAGTTTGGCTTTTGTTATGTTTGGGGGGAAGGGGGTGGCACACTCTCCGTTCAAATTACTTGCTTTTTTTTTTTCTGATCTCTGGCTGAGTTGTGGATTCCTGAGGACATTATTAGTACATCTTGATGAATGTCAGAAGGTGAATAAACGTGGTATAAAATGTGAAGGTCAGGTGATATAGCAAACATAACCATAAGATACTTGGCAAAGTATAAACCTACATAAATTCACTCTTTCCGATATATTGAGGGCCTTGGACTAATGTTTAGATACATTCGTTATAGCAAAATTTTTACATTTCATTAGATGTTGAAAGTCCATCAGAAAGTTAACCATCTATTTCTCTGCTTTAATAACAGTGCCTTCCAAAGACTAGGCACTCGAATATTTGCTGTCCTGTTTGAGTATTTTAGGATCATAACCCTGGGTGTCTTTGTTGCCTATATACTAAGATCATAGTAGTTACTGCCTGAAAGTTCTCTTTGTGGGCAGTGAATTGGATGACAGCAAAATATTATTTATCCAGAGTTTCTGGTTATGATGTTACTGAAATTTGCCTTCATAGAACATTAGATTATGGAACTTCCCTCAGATAGTACTATCTCTTCTCTTCCATTTTCCATTTAGATGTCAGAGAGAAGCAAAAGATTAAATATAGTTTCTGAAAAAAAATTGTAATGTTTTTTCCCTGCCCTCCTCAAATATTCTAGAGAAAAAGATAGAACTACTTTGAGTACAGTCTGTAATGATACAGGGAAAGAAACTGACCCATTATTGTGCAATACCACAGAATAGCTCAGAGGATCCCATATCTTCAGGGATTAATTCACCTTTTCTTAGGGTTAGGATTGCTGCATATCACTTATTCAGCAAATGAATGTTACAGTGGTGTTCAATATGTGTCTATTGACTACCAGCAGCAGAAGAATCACTGGTGCTAAAATGCTGATTTCTTGGCTTCACCCTACTCCTAATTAAACCCATATATCTTAGGAAGGAGCTGGAGAGACTGCTTTTCACATAAATTCCCAGTGTGAGTCTTGTGCATACTACATATTCAGAATCACTGATAAATTATCTTCTGTGTACATTTTGCTTGATCCACTGAAAGTCTCTTGCCCAGAACTCCTGAAATATGAGATTCAGTCTATGCCCTTGACCACATTTAATGTTGTTAAAGTGGAGATTGGTATAAATTGTGACGCGCCAGAGATTTTTAAAAAATCTATTGACTGGCTAATCTGGAATCTCATAATGCTAATGTGGCAAAAACTTTAACAATTTTTTTTTTTTTTAAGAATTTTCATGGACTTCGGAAAGTCTTGCCCAGAGTACAACATTCAGAAAGGAAGCTTTCTGAGGATCTAGATTTTTGTTGTTGTTGTGTTTTGTTTTACCACTAGTTTCTTTTAAGATGCTACAAGCCAAATCATCATGGTCCCTTTTCATTGACAGCCACCTATTCATACATCACACTTGGGACACAGGAACCTTCCAGTCCTAGGGCCCAGTGCCATGGGTCCCTGGCTCACTGGTGTTCTGCACAGCAGTTTCCAGAAAAGGCCCTGCTTCAGCCCTAGGTGCTACGAGGGAGCTGGATATGTAACATATAATCCATAGCTATCCACAACCCACTGTCTCTTCCTAGCCTGGAACAGTGTCCCTCTTTCTGATGTCCTCTCTCACTATTGTCCAAGGCAATCCCTGCTCTCTCCTACCTCTCCAGGAAGCTCAGCATAATCACCAAAATGAGCTCAGGCTTTCATGAGACAGGAGAGAGATAATTGTCAACAAGTAGCGACTATTGTCTTCCAGCTCTGAAAGCAAGAACTGCAAAGGGCCTGGCTACCTTTGGGGAAATCTATAAGAAAAACAAAAGTATTTCAGTAAGTTATCCTTCTACACTAAGTCCTAGGGCACCTCAACCCTTCTGAACCATGTTTTTCTCATCTGTAAAAGTGGAGATGATCATTATCCTACTAATTTTTCAAAGTTATCATGTGAATCAAAAAGCCATTGTACAGCAGGTAGTGAGAGCTCACTAAATGTTGATTGAATCATTAAAAAGTATGTAAAAGCAAATGACAACACCTGACACATTACTAGGGTCTAAATGTTTTTTAATCTGTATCTGTAGAATTTATAAGATTTAATTAGCTCTTACGGTTCTAGGATTTTGTGTTTTCCAGGGCATCAAGATGGCAACATACACACGTGGTCAGCCCAGCCTTTCTCTAAGAGATGGAAACCTCAAATCAATGGTCATCGAAATCATAGAAAAAAAATTTGAGTATCTTAGAAAAGAAAAGTAAGAGACACACCCAGACTGAAGATCAGTGAACCTTATTTACAGACCTTCCATAGTACCATTGTTTCTGAATATCTAAGATCCTATTAACTTTATTGAGTTGGTTGTGAAGAAAACTTACTTTTTTTTTAAAATTGGAGAGAAGCATGGACAGATGAAAATTGTGGTTTGTTGGAATATTAGGACTGTGATAATTTTTCTTAAAAAATGTCTAAAATTGTTATTGAAATGTTATTTGGGCAATAAACATTTTTAAGTTAAAAGTAATTAGGAGAATTCAATTTGGGGGGCTATTTATGTTTAATTAATGATCAAGTGTAATTAAATTCAGTTTAGAATTGATTACCTTAGCCACAGTGCTGAGTTCAACAAACAGGAATACAGTTTCCATGATATACATGTAGTTTCACATTACCATTTTGACTTTTAGATTATTAGAGCTCAAAAATAAAAGATGTTGACCTTAGACCTTACACATTTCTGGATTTAGGTGTGAGTCAGAATAAGTAAATCTAAATCTAGTAAATCTGTTTGGATGAAGTTTTGGAAATCCTTGACAGATTATTTTAAATGTATTTGGACTAATTAAGAAATAGTTATTTTCTAGAAGGCCTAACCAAATGTAAACAACATTTTTCAAATGACCTTAAGCAAATTTTTTAGTAGCAAGAGCAGTCTTCTTAGATTTTAGATAGCTCATAAAATTTGGCTATATAGAAACATATTCATATTTATTTGTGGCCAAAATTTATTCTCTTTAAAAGAGCTACATTTTAGAACCACTATAAATATTCTCTGAAAGAGAATTATATCCTCTGATTAGAATGCAAGTTCCATGAGAAATGGGATTTTTTTTTTTTTTTGCAAAGTCACTGTCCTATCCTTAGAATGTAGAAAATAATTTTACATAGTAAGTGCTCAAGAAATATTTGATGTTGAGTATATATGTAGTAATAGATGACTACCCAGGAAGGTATATCCAGTAAGAAAATATTATGTGGAACTTAATTATTGTTTTTCTGTTAGCCCTTTAAATATACATGGAACAGCGATTATTGGAACAACAGCTAGTTTCTCTGGACTGTTGGCAAACTTCATTTTCAGACACTGCTTCAAGGTTAACCAGGATGCTTTGAAGACATATGCATCATTGACTACACTTCCATTTTTGTCTACTGTAGTTGCTTATAAGCTCCTTGTCACAGATGCTTTGTATTCAGGTAAATTTAAATTCATGAAAGTATAATGTGTTTATGTCTAAGTAAAATTATTCATTAACATACTGTTCCTACTCCTGGTAATAATCCCTTACATTTGTGTATTGCTTTACCACTTACAACGTACCTTCACCTATATTGTCCTATTCTGTCCCCACAATAGTCGAGTAGTATTGTCTTTTTAACAGATAAGCAACAAAGACAAAGACATATTCACATGTAAGAAGCAACATAATATACTGAGAAAAAAGCAGGCTTTGGCATACTACACACATGATTTCAGATCCTACTTCCTACCACTTAAGTTTTGTGACATTGGGCAAGTAATTTAACCTAAGACTCAGTTGTCTTACAGTTAGAACTAATATTATGGGGGCTATTTTACTTTATTATACTTTCATAAATATAATAATACCTACCTCACAGGATTGTGAGAATTAAAGTAGTATATGTTAAATGCCTAACATAGTATCTGGCATATTATAGGCTTCTAATGTTATTTTTTGCCTCTTCCCCTTACCTTAAGTTTCACAACTAGTAATTGTTGGAACCTCTGACGCTGTTCATCAGGTCCCTGCTCAAATATCTCTTCCCCAGGGAAACCTCTGATTCCCTCAGGGTTTCTAGATACAGTCTCTAGTCTTACCTTCAAAACACTGTGAACACTTAAAATTATTTATTTAAATATTTGTCTAGTATCTTTTTTTCCTGGTAGACTAGCCTGAGGGTTAGATAATGGATCCCTTTTATGCAAAACTATCCCTAGCACCTAGCACATGCATGACATACAGACAATAAAAATGTATTAACCTAGAATCCAGATGTCTGCTCTGCTAGTTTAATATTCTTTATTATAAAGTTGCTTCTGCAGCAACCACATATATGAGATAATTCCTTATGTAATGTATAATAAAAGCATTTTTAAGATGTGGTGCATTTGGTCTATATGTACTATAGACTGAATTTCTAATAGTACTTCTACTGCTTCACTATGGTTGAGGACAGTGCAGATAACTACTCTTTGAGGGCACAAGACTTTCTTAATGTTTACCCTGAGTTCTAAAGGGAGGCCAAATTTCCATTTCTTTTCCAGGTAATATAAGCCAGGAAAATTGTGTCCTGAGAAGTTCACTGGTTGGCATAGTATGTGGTGTTTTATATCCCACTGGTTTGGCTTTTTTAAAAAATGGACGTCTGGCAGTAAAGTAAGTCTGTTTGTTCCTTCTCTTCCTCCCTCCCTTCCTTAAAAAAAAAAAAAAAATTAGTGAACTCTCATTCTTTAGCTGTCAGTTCCACTTTTAGTCAAAATATAGTAGTTTGGTATTTCAGATAGCTGACTTTCCGCCTTTTGGCTAGCTCTATGAAAAACCTTGAATAGAAATGAGTTTAGAAGAAATCAACAAATTTGTTATTGAATATGCATCCAGGAAGAGTGTTAAACATTTTTTTTTTTTAAAGGTATCATACCGTTCCACTGCCACCGAGAGGAAGAGCCTTACTTTATTGGGTGATGCTTTGTCAAACAGAGGTAAAAGGAATGCTAATTCCTCTAGCCTTTCAGATGGTCTTTGGAATACATAATGGCATAAAACATTATGCAATATTTGAAAGTACATTTGAGAAAACTACATGAAGATTGACCAAAGAATGAATGGATTTTTTATGATAAGGACTCAGGTCTTGCTGAAAAAGTTCAAAGTAACTCTGAACAATTTGTTTCTATTCTTTTTTGCCCTAGTATATAGCAGGTTCTCAGTGAATATTCAATAATTCAATAAATCAATGTAAGTTTTGTCTTCCTCGGTGCATGTGTAAATAGGCTTGAGTCCTCAAGTTCTGATCTATACATTTATATGTTCATTCATTCATCAGACATTTATTGAGCAGCTGCTGCATCTCAGGCACTGTGTTACATGTAACAATAAGTCTTTACCCAGAAGGAACTCACAGAAGAGAAATTTAAAATGTGAACACAAAGCATGAGAGGGTTTGAGAGGTATACACATAATTCTGTGGGAACATTTAGGATGTGGCCATTAACTACTTGGGCAGAAGGGAAAGCTATAGGGAAAAAGTGACATTTGACTTCATTTTGAAGAAGTTGAAAGTTCATAAGAAAGCAAAAAACAGAAATAGCTTATGGCCCATTCCTCTAAACTCTGATTCTGTATACGTACTAGCTTATTATTGTTAGCAAATTATTTTTACTATGTTGTTTAAAGAACATAAATTGAGTGCCTATTTGCTGTGCATTGAGATAGGTACCAGGAGTACAAAGATTCAGTCCCTGCCCTCAACAAGCTTGAAGTCTAAAGAAAAACATCACAGCCTGCTTCTTCATATCTGCTAGAGTATTCATCTCAGTTTAGGAATGAACACTAATGAAAAGAATAAAACACAGAATGAAATTCCACATCTCTTTCTCCTTGTATTAACCATGTAGTGAGATTAAATATTTGGCCATCTGAGGGCCCAAGCAACACAAAGCAGAAATGGAAGTTTTGAGAAGGTACTTATAGCATCATATACAGCAAGCTAAAATACATGCACTTTCTTGCTAATGAAAAAAAAAAGGTTAGTCATCCATCTTTCTGTTCTCAGAATAATTTATGATACTTGAAACTCTAAGGAAAGAGCAAGTGATTGGGGTGGGGCAGGGGGCATCAAGCCAAATAGAAAACTAAACCAATGATACTCATATTTTAATTCTTAAAAAATTATGAGTACATGAATGCTTTCTCATTGTGAGATATTCAAATGATCCTCAAGTATATATATAGGGTGGGCCAAAAGTAGGTTTACAGTTGTGAGTACATGAAACACAGAGAATACTTGTATTATTATTTATTATTATTTTTCATGTGAACAACTGTTAACCTACTTTTGCTCCACCCTTTATATATATTTGCTATACAGAACAAGACTTGAAAAGTCCTCCTGCTCTCCCAGTCAATCCTATTTCTACTCAGTTCTCTGGAGGTAGCCATTATAAAGTTAATGCCTCTTTCCTTGCAATATTCTTTTGTAATTTACATATTTTAAAATAAATTGTATTATCCATACATACTATGCTGAAAATTTTTACTTGACTGTATGTCTTAGAGATCTTTCCAACTCATTACACATAGGTCCAACACATTCTTTTTAGTGGCAGTACATTTTTGAATAGTCCAGTGTTCACATAGGTGATTCTTCCAACCCCTGGTCTCTCTACCTTACCACTTATTCCGATGGTCATACTTTAGACCCATCCACCTGATATAATAGTCTGTAGCATTTGAGATGTGAATAGTCTAAATTGAAATGTGTTACAAGTGTAAACCACAACAAGTTTTGGAGATTTACTATGTAAAAGAGAATGTAAAATATCATGAATAATTAATCTATGGATTAGTTGTTGAAAGGTTAGTTATTTATATTAGATTAAATAAAACACATTCATTTTACTTCTTTTTATAATGTGTCTACTAGGAAATTTAAAATTATATACGTAACTCATTATATTTTTATTTGTACTATGTTGCTCTAGACCTTGTCATTATCAATAAATTCAAATTCTCCACATTCTCAATTTTAAAATCTGATTTTATCACTGTCTCCTGTCCTCCAAGTTCATTTCATCCTCATACTGTAACTCCAGCATTACGTTAGCCTCAACGGAACCTACAATCCATCGATCCCACCAACTTCTCACTGTCCCTCCCCCCCGACATCCTTACTGCCCTTCTCCAGCTTCAGCCACAATCTTTTTAAAGTTTCCCAGTCTTAAGGCAAAAAGAAAAAAAAATGAGTCTAGCTAAAGTTGATTTTTAAATATAGGTTTTGGCCTCTGTGGATTTTCTGTTCATGTCTTTGGACCATTTGATTTATAGAAGCTCTGTAAATTCATTTGATTTATAGAAGCTCCAAAAATTGTTTTATTTCTTGATATGCTTAGGTAGTAATCTGGGAAATTCAGCAAGGTTGACTTATGTTTATCTCCCCTGCCATAAGAAAGCTGAAGAGATTTGTACTTCCATGATTTCAGTTTGCCTTTTCTACAATAGAAAAAGCTGGGGATTCTTTGCCAAAGTGGCTGTATTAGGTCTGATAGGGGAAATTAGGGAAACCTTGATCTGGGTCTGAGCACAAAGATGAAAATAAGTGAACAGCAGTGAAGAAGGCAAAATCCTAGAGGCATGATACTTTTGAGGTGTCAAGTACAGCCTGGAGCTCCACTATCAAGGTTCAAATCATGGTTTCACTAACTACCCACAGGATGACTTAAGTTATTTCACCTCTCTGCCCCTCAGTTCCCTCATCTGTAAAATGAAGAATAAAGATTGTATAAGTCAGAATGAAATTAGTTCATATATGTAAATCAAACAAGAAGTCTAGAGAGAGGTCTGGAGACACTTGAAGAGAGACTGCGGACAGAGGCTTTAGGGAGAGAACTGAGAGAGTAGCCAGTGAGATCCCCGTGCTGACTCTTCCCCCACACAGGTGGAGCTTGAGAAGACCCAATAACCCCGCCCCCCGAAAGGACTCCACCCTGCCCTGAGCTGTCTAAGGCGACCTGCTAAGTGCAGCGTGACTAGATTAACAGCTGAAGGAGACAGCCACAAACAGTAGACTCCTAGAAGTCTCGAAGAGACTGCCTAAGGTCAGACAGGGTCAACATCTGACATTATCAGAGGCAGATCCAGAAAGAATAAAGAGCAGTCTCTTACCATAGAAGTTCACACCACAAAGTCAGAAAATCAAGACAGATCAATTTAAGAAGCAGACGCAAAAAAGAAGAGTCTCACAAATAATAGGAAGACAAACACCCCCGCAATAGAAGGGAAAGGAGGAATCCCCACAAACAGAACTAAATGAAATAGAGGCAAGTAAAGTATTAGATACTGAGTTCCAAACAACGGTTCTAAGGAAGCTATAATGGTTTTAAATTTTTTAATATTTTATAATTAACTGACATTTTTTAAAAAATCAATCTGCATGAAGAAAGAAAAAGAAAGATGGAACTCCTACCTTTTGCGACAACAGGGATGGAACTGGAGAATGTTAAGCTAAGTGAAATAAGCCAGTTGATGAAAGACAAATACCATATGATCTCACCTATAAGTGGACTCTATTCAACAAACTAACAAAATAAACCACAGGCAAGGAAACATGGAGCAGACTGAAAGTGACCAGAGGGGATGGGGAAGGAAGCCAATGTGGAAAGAAGGGGAAGGGACTAGACAAAGAACATGTATGAATTACCCATGAACATGGACAACAGAGTGGGAACTGACTGTGGGAGCGGGGAGTGGGGGTGATGGGTGAAGAGGGGCAAAGGGGGGGGAATTGAGACAACTGTAATAGAATAAACATGATTTAAAAATTTAAACAAATTTTTTAAAAAGTCTATGTGTTGCTGCCATTATTATTACTACCTGTACAGTCCTTTCTCTTGCTTGTAGTTGAGTTTAGCATTTTTCTAGAAAAGATTATAAAGAAGCACAATGAAGAAAATTCACAAGATATATTTCATTTGAATAAATATGTGTTCATTCAGCTGATACTCATTCAAGACCTAGTGTGTGAAAGATATTGTATACCACACATTTGGCTTTACCTAACCTTTTTGACTATGTTATCTCTGAAAACATACTAATGAACTGCTTTGCAGTGAGGTTATAAAGATTAAAGGACAGGGAACGATACCAGGCATATAGGAGGTGTTCAATAAATGTCTTTACATTGTCTGTTTTCCCTAGTGGGTATATAAGAATGACTAAGATGTTGTCCCTACTATGAGAACTTCCTTTCTCTTTTGCCTTTTTTCCTCCATTTCCTCCAACTCCCTTAACCATGTGATTTCCCCCAGCTTTTGTATTGCATTACATTGCATAGTTAGCAATGTATTCAGTATTTGAATTTTCAAGTTTAAGCAGTAATATAATGAAGAAACAGTATTCTACAGATATGGCTGAATTTAATAGAATTTGTTCACTCAGCTTCCTAAAGCTCATTAAAAAGAAAATTCTTCCAAAGATACATAACCCTCTACCTTCATCATTCTAGCCCTACAAAGACAGTCGCACCGTCATTAATAAACACAAATAATTGAATCTTCACTGAAGTAACAAAACCCCTTAAAGTCACCCTATGATTAGTCATAGCAAAAGAAAAGATGGGTGAACTTCAAAATAAAACTAAAAAAAAAAACATAGTATTTAGTGAGTAACCTTACATACCTCTATACCTGTAAATGAAGACATTGAAGGAGGGGATGAGCAGAAAAATGTTTTTTGAAATATTAATGGCGGAAAATTACCCAAACTTGATGAAAACTATAAAACCACAGATTCAAGGACTCCTAGTCCAAGGTGGCAACAGAGGATGCTCCTAAACTCACCACCCAAAGACACCCTGAATCTACAACACCACGCAAAGCAATTCCCCCTCAACGAAATTCAGAAACTAGCTGAGTGACACCTACAGATCAGGCAAATGAGAAAATACACCAAATAGGTAAGGAAAGGACTGAAACACACTCACCATAAACCCCATCCCAACACAGCAATATATAATCAGGAGGGAATTCAAAAATCTCAGCTTCTCCCAAAGAAGGGAAATGTTTGGACCCAACTACCTAATGCCCCAACATTTAAGACTTCTACCTCAAGGTAGGGCCGCCAAAATACCTAGCTCTGAAAGCCAACAGGTTTGCTGTCCATGAGACCCACAAGACTACAGCAAACAAAAAAGTGGTTGTTAACTGGTACAAACACTCACTGCAGCTATCTCCCCAGTGCAGAGTGAGCAGGCAAAAAAATGCCCATCTCCCAGTTTTCCCTGAACGAGGTCTATTTGCATGCTTTTTAAAAAAATGCTGCCTGAGGGTCAGAACTCAATTTAACACTTCTAGGAGCCAATGCAGTTCTTCCTAGAGACTAGGAAAGCCCGCAGACACCTCCCTACCTTCTCTCCTGAGGCCACTCCAAGTCAACACTACCTCCCTGGAAGGAGCTAATACATCTGTACAGCAGCTTTTGTACTGCTACCCAAGGGGCAGGTCCCCAGATCTGGCTCTGATAACCAATGAGCTTCCATCCACTAGTCCCACAGGACTACAGCAAACAAAGAAGCAGTTCTTAAATCAGCTATATTTTTAGGGCAGAAGGAACCCTCATCTCTCAGTCTTTCCCTAAAAGCTGTCTATTTGCATATCTTAAAAGATTCTGCCTGATCAGGTTTCTAATACAGCAGGCATTGAGGGGCTAACTTCAATCCTCCCCAGAGACCAAGGAAGCCTGCGGACACCCCTTACCTTCTCCCTCTCCCTTCAGCCTGTTCCAAGTCACAGTATCTTCCTGGAAGGACTTTTTATTTAGATGTAGTTCCACTTGTTTATTTTTGCTTTTGTTGCCTTGGCTCTTTGTGTCATATCTAAAACATCATTGCCAAGACCAGGGTCAAGGAAGCAATGCACTCTTAAACAACCAATAGGTCAAAAAAAATCAAAAGAGAATTTAGAAAATATCTGGAGACAAAAATAAAAGGCCAACATCAAAACTCATGGATATAGTGAAAGCAGTAATAAGAGGGGAGTTTATAGTGGTAAATATAAAAAGATCTCAAATCAAAAACCTAAACCTACACCTCAAGGAACAGGAAAAAGAAGAACAAACTAAACCCTAAGTTAGCAGACATAAAGACATAATAAAGCTTATAGAAGATATCATTGAAATAGAGAATAGAAAATAACATAAAAAATCAATAGAACCCTTAGCTAGTTTTTTAAATAATTTTCAAAATTCACGAACCCTTAGCTAGACTAAGAAAATAAAAAAGAAGACTCAGATGGATAAAATTAGAACTGAGTCTACAACTGATGTGACAGAAATAAAAAGGATTACAAGAAACTATTATGAACAATTATATGCTAAAAAAAATTAGATAACCTGGAAGAAATGGACAAATTCCAAAAACATGTAACCTACCAAGACTGAACCATGAAGAAATAAATTTGAACAGACCTGTAACAGGTAAGGAGATTGAAGCAGTAATTAAAAAGCTCCCAACAAAGAAAAGCCCAGGACCAGATGGCTTCACTGGAGAACTGCACCGAACATTTGAAGAATTCACCCCAGTCCTCCTCAAATTATTCTTAAGAATTTAAGAGGAGGGGGCACTCCCCAATTCATCCTATGAGATCAACATTATCCTGATACCAAAACCAAATGAAGACTTAAGAAAGCAATATACCAATATTTCTAATTGATATTGATATAAAAATCCTAAACAAAATATCTGCAAACTGAATTCAACAGCACATTGCAAGGATCACACACCATGATCAAGTTGGATTTATACTTGGAATATAAGATTTTAATAAGCAAAAATCAATCAATGTAATAAGCCACATTAACAAAATCAAGGACATCACCACATGATTATCTCAATCAATGCAGAAAAACTTAACGCTGTTTTACAATAGATAC